CAAGGGTACTGGGTGCACATATGCAGGGGAGCCCCACATTTGTGTTGAAACCAAGCCTAGGCTGACAAAAGCCTCCCTTTTGTTCCATCTAGAGCTTCACACATTAGTATCATTCACTGGTCATCCAGCCTGGACATGGCTCTGAGCCCAAGACAGTGCCTTGCACTCAGTGAAATGTTTTGTTGACTTGAATTAGACAGAATCGGACTGTTGCCCATTTCCCTTAGGGGTTGGCTCTTTGGGCCTTGATAGTCTGGGGTCTCTCCATGGGTGTTGACTCCTTATCTGCTGGAAGTAATCTGGGTCAGTAGTAGCTGATGAGTGGGGGCGGGGGGGGGGGGGTAGACAGAGGAGAGAAGATTAACAAATGACTATCTCTAGGGCAGCAATAATTTCATTTGTACTTGAAAATAAATGTCTGAGGAGAAACAGCTGGTATGTGTTGGTGTATGCAAATCACAGGTAAATTCCCTGTCCCACACGCCCTTAGGAAAATTTAACCTAGGCAGTCCAAGGTAGGGGAAATAATACGGGCCTTGGTGTCAGAGGACCAGAGTCAAATAATTGCCTCAGCCTTTACTCCCAGTATAACCTTTGACAAGTCAAGCAACCCCACACCTACCCCTACTCCCAGTTTCTTCATCAGCAGAGTAGGGATAATAATACCAGTATAATACCTATCTTCCAGGGCAGCTGTAAGATTCCAAAAAGATGTGCCAACTCTTAGGACTTATGAATGTCCATTATAATTATTTGATGGAATGATTTCTTATAAACATTCAATTCAACAAACCTTTATTAAGCATCTACTATGTGCAAAGCACTATGCGAGGCACAGAAAAAAATTATTTGCCCTTGAAGTAGCTTACACCCTATGGGTGGGAAGGCACAATTTACATTCAGATAAGTAAAAAAAAGCAGAGTTATTTCAAGAGGGTCAGAGTATTCACAGTTAAGGGGAATCAGGTTAGGCCAAGAGTAGTGAGGGCAGCTGACCTCTGCTTTGAAAGGAAGCTAGAGATTCTAGAAGGAGGATGTGAGGAGGGGCTGCATTCCAGAGAAGGGTGACTGCCTGTGTAAAGACAGAAGCAGGAAATGAGTGTCACGTACTGGGGACCGTTAACAGGCCAGTTCAGATTAGAAACATAGATAAGGAGCTCAGTTGTGACAGGTTTAAAATTCCAGGCTAAGGATTTTTGAAGTTTTATCTTTATGGTAATAGGGAGCTATGGAAGGTTTTTGAGTAGGAGAGTGACATAGACCTGTGTTTTAGAAATATCAGTTTTGCAGTTGCACAGAAGATGAACTGGAGAAGACTAGAAGCAGAGAGATTAATTAGGATTTATCACAGTAGTTAAGATAGAGGCGAGCAGGTCATTTAAAGTAAATTATGTACCAGCTCCCAAGCCCTTAAAAAAGGGCCAATCATAGCTAAATTAATTCAGGTTTCTCATTTTCAGTGCACTCACTTCTGTACCTATCATGGTCTCTGACATCCTCAGGAGACCAGGCAAAGTTTGGAGGGGTTTGGGTGTTACAAGAACAATGGCATTTGATTCTATATAATAACAGGCATCAGGAGGGTATACAGAACCGAAAGACAGTTACTTCTCTCAGAATGTCAGTAGCTTGTTCCATAAGAAATGGTGAGCAGAAAATCCTGGAAAGACTTGTATGAACTGATGCTGAGTGAAGTAAGCAGAACCAGGAGAACATTGTGCCCAGTAACAGCCACACTGTGCAATGACCGACTTTGTTAATCTTAGCTCTCCTGAGCAATGCAATGATCTAAGACAATTCCAAAAGTCTCATGATGGAAAATGCTATCCACATCCAGAGAAAGAACTATGGAGTCTGAATGCAGATCAAAGCATACTATTTGCCTTTTTTTGTTTTTTCTTTCTCGTGGTTTTTTCCTTTTGTTCTGATTCTTCTTTCACAAGATGACTAATGTGGAAATATGTTTAATATGATCATACATATATAGCCTATATCAGATTGCATGCCATCTTAGGGAAGGGGGAGTGGAGGGAGGGGGAAAAATTTAAAACTCAAAATCTTATAAAAGCAAATGTTGAAAACTAAAAATAAATAAAATATTAAAAAAAAAAAAGAATGTCAGTAGCTGACTGGATCCTGCAGGGAATCCCTACTGCTTCTAAAATTCTTTAAAGAGCAAGAAATACATATATAACTCCCTCTCCAACCCCACATCCAATTAATTCAAATGCCATTAATTGAGGAGAAGGTAGGTGGTAAAACGGATAGAGCATCGGGCCTGGAGTTACGAAAGCCTGAGTTCAAATCCAGCCTCAGAGATTTACTAGCTGTATGACCCAGGCAAGTCACTTAACCCTGTTTGCCTCAGTTTCCTCTTCTGTAGAATGAGCTGGAGAAGGAAATGGCAAACCACTCCAGTATCTTTGCCAAGAAAACCCCAAATAGGGTCATGAAAAGTCAGAACACGACTGAACAACAACAACTATTTGATTGATGATAGGACTGCATTATCTCTCAAATTCACCTCCTTCTTTCCTCTCCATTCCCATCTTCCTAGTCCACACCCTCAACATCTCTTTTCCTGGACCGTTTTCAATAGCCTTCTAACCAATCTCTTGCCTTCCATCTCTCAAATTCATCCTCCACCCTGACAGATTATCTGGGGCTGAGTATACTCGTCCCTGGGCCTGGAGAGGCACAGAGGAGCTAAGCACAGCTCCCATGTCTTCTTGGCTTCTTAGAATCCCTGGGCTTTCTTCGAAGCTCACCTCTTTCTGGATTCTTCTAGTTCTTAACGTTCTCTCCCTCCTCAAATCATTTTGTATTTGTTCATTTGTTTACATATTGTATTCCTTAGTAGGTGGTAAATAGGAGAGCTAGGATTTGAACACAAGGCTTCCAGCACTGTCTAATTCTCTTTCTACCCTTGGTGACTTATTCAGTCGTTTTCGACTTTTGTGACCCTATTTGGGGTTTCCTTGGCAAAGACTGAAGTGGTTTGCCATCTCCTTCTCCAGCTTAATTTACAGATGAGGAAACTGAAGCAAACAGGTATAAGTGACTTGCCCAGGGTCATATGGCTAGGAAGTTTCTGAGGCCAGATTTGAAGTATGGAAAATGTCTTCCTGACTCCAGGCCTGATGCTCTATCTATTGTACCACCTAGCTGCGCTGTTGGTCACATTCCTCAAAATGACAGTCCAAGGGTAGAATTGAGGGACCAGCGTATAGGCATCACTTGGGATAGGCCATGAGGGTTTTGCCGTGGGGTTGGAAATTTTGAGGGTGCCAGCAGCACTGTCTTTGGGTGACTTCCTTCTTCTTTAGCAGCCTAGAAATCTCAGGGTGTCTGGAAGGGTCTCTGCAACCTACCTCCTGGTCTTACCTGACCTCCTGTAGCATGGAAACCTCATAGTGTAGTGGGGTGGAACCTATAAAGGTTGACTTTGTTTCATTTCCCCAGTTTCATAGAGACAAGCCATACTGAATGTGAATCAGTCTTTATTCTGCACTCGCACTGTGAATTAACAAATCCAACATACAAGATAGCGTTACATAGTGTAAGGTTAGCATCACAGCGTTATGCAATGTCACACGGTTCATGTTAGATGTTTTTTCTGTTTTTTTTTTTGTTGTGTTTCTTCTTTTTAAAATTTTTGACACACTTTCATTTAACTGTTTTAGACATTTCTTAGTTTCATTTTTACAAGAGAAGACACAAGGTAAAGAAAGACCACGTCGGAGAGGGATTGTGGTGAGGGCAATGTCCCCACCTTGGTGATGGTGAGAGCCTTCCCGGACATGCGGCCTGCCCTCCTCAGTCCCTCTCCTGAACAAGCTGTCTCTGTCCAGAAAACCAATTATGTCTGACTTTTGGATTGGGAGCAAGCTCTATTCCAATTCAACAGGGGCATTTCTCTTGGTGTTTCCTCTCCAGAAAGAGCTAGAAAAAAGGAACCGCTCTAGAAGAGGGCTTTTGATGCTGATAAAAACTCTATTCTTCCTAGAAGGGAGATGCCCAGAGGCCAGGCAACCTTCCAAAGACAAATGACAATTTCCCAAACCTATTCCTGACTCGTAGAGAGAGTCTTGTGCAAAAAAAAAAAAAAAAAGTGAGGCTGTGACTCTCTTGCGTACCAAATGAATCCTAGGAGGAGACAGTCCTCTGGCTCTGCCCTGAAGCCTTGGAAGGAACAGGCCAGAGGACCATAGCCAGCTATGAAACTTTGGGTCAGCAAAGTCAAGGTCACCAATGGATCAGGCCTGAGGTAGGTGGGGAGAACCTGGTACAGCCACCCCTGTGCCCAACATCTTCTTTGAGAAAGACAGTCATGGCAGTCAGACCCCTCCCCCCACCCCAGTTACTATTGACTGTTCCCCTATCCCTTCCCCACCCACTCACTACTCAGGAGATCCAAAGGATGGGAAGAATAAAGCTACCAGGGGAGGTGGGAGAGTGGAGGTGGGGGTCGAGAGAGGAAGGGGAGAGGCAGTTTTCCCAAACTTATGTCAGGAGGAGCTATAGAGGCACACACACAGCTGGGCCAAGGCCCAGCTATCTCTACCAGTTGCTTTGCATTGTTTCTGGGAAGGAAACAGAAGTGGGGATGCTCAGGGATTTCTGATCTTTAGGCATTAAGGCGATGAAGAGGAACCATTTCCATTTCTTCCTAAACGGGCTTCAAAACGCGCCTGTTGGATTTACATTAAACTATCTCAAAGTGAGCTTTTAAAAAACCAAAAAAAATTATTTTCTTCTACGTATGATACAGTATTTACAATCCTCTGGGCACAGGACAGAGACTAGTCTTCAGAACACAACTTAAAGGTGGGAGGAAATTTGAGCTAGAATGCTGGAGGAGGAAGGGAAAAAACTGGGATGGGGAGGGGCACTCTTGTTATCTCTCTATCTACTTAAATCTTGTTTTCAAGAGATAGTGATGAAAAAAAAGAAGAGGATGATTTTTTTGTTGTTCTTTTGGAAGCAGTGAGTTGGAAGGATTTTTTTTTTTTTTTTTTTTTTTTTTTAATGTCTGCAGAGCTACCTGGAAGGCTCAAGGCAAGATGTATATCCTTTGATAAGCTACCTGACTTTTCTGTAGCCCTCCTTGGAAGCAAATTGGGGAGAACTTTTTAAGTGTAGTGATACCTCATTGGTATGCAGATGGATGATCACCAGGGGCCTGGCTCAGTCTGTCACTTGGCTGATTCCTTTTGTAGGCTGAGGGATGCCCTATGTGGCATTATGTGCTCCAGTAATATTCAGGCTATCCCCAGGGGAAGTTGAGTCTTTAAACCATCTCAAAACTAAGGGAAAGATCACTGGGCTGGGACATAGGAGACCTGAATTCTCTTCCCAGTTCAAGCACTGACTTACCTTGAGATTCTGGACAAATGGCCGAATCTCTCAAGAGGCCCTGTTTCACCATGTATAAAAAGCTGATTAAAATCTCTAAACTACTCCCACCCCCAATTCCCAGGGATGTTTTGAAACTCAGTGAGGTTATACATGAACATATACCTTTAGGGATTGGGGGAGGGTAGAAAAGGTGCTATAGAAATCCAAGGGTGGTGGCGACACCCTTTTTGATGAGGGTGGCAAGACTTGAAAAGCACTATATGAAAGTGAGCATCACCATTATTTTTTTTTCCCTAAGGGCCATCATTGAAACTTCAAGAAAGAGTAATTTCTGAGAATATTTGCCTTTGGAAAACAAAAGTTAAACCCCCAAATAATGCTCTAGGCCAATTCCAGAGAAATTCCTTAGACAATATTTAGAAAAACCAAAGACCCATCTAACCCTTTAAACCACTGTCAGATTTTAGTCCAGCCACCAATGGATGACTTCTGTATATAGCAGCAAAATGGCAGGCAGGTGTCATCCTCTCCTCCCTTCCCTGATCCTTCTCATTTAGAAAGAGGCTGAATATGGTATTTAGGGATCATTACACAAATAGTAAGACAATGGCATTCTCTTTGGGTCCTGGCCCTTTAGATTTTCCTTCCCTGCCCCTCCCCCTTTTGCCATGAGAGATCCTCTGAATTGATAACTTCATGGTCCTTATGGGGAAGTCTGGTTGTGTCACAAACCCAAGTTTCACCAGGTCAAGCCCTAGTGTTTTGCTACCTACATGCAATCAAGGGACAGTATCTGTCAGTCATTCCCACAGCTCATTTAGCTGGATTTTTCTTTCTATTGGTAAACAAAACAAAATAAAATATAATCTTTTCTACTGCCCAGCACCATGTTTGTTTCTTGGCTGAGGGCAGATTTTTTTAGCTTTTGGCTCATTCCTTGGTTAGGCAGCAGCCAAGGATCTCTCCCACTCCCTGGGAAGAGGCCAGAAAGGAGGCCAAGACCAAGATGGTGGATGAGGAGATGAGGTGTTCAACGGCAAAATTTGGAGTTAAAAAATCAAACAAACAAATCACAACACCCTCCAGAGAAACCTGGTAAAGAGAGGCTAGTTTCAGGTGAACCTCAGCAAACAATTCAGCACAGAATACTTTTTCATGGATTAAAATTGGTAACTCGATATTGGAAGTTACACTAATCGCTTCAGTTTGTATTAGACATGCAATTATGTGGTTACATTGTTATATATAGACTTGTATGGGGTCTTTCACTCTTTTTTCCTCATTTTTTTTCCTTTTTCCTTTTTTTTTTTTTTTTGAATTTGTGGTGCCTTGTAAAAGGAAAAAAAAAATCCTCATTGCTAGGAACCAAGGAACCAATCTGTTGCTGGGGTTGTATGAGGTGTCCTTCGTGGGCTGTGTTTTGTACGAAAGTTTCTTCTATGACTAAAATGAGGTTTGGAGTCCGCCTCTCTCTCCCCTCCTCCCAATCCTCTCCCAACTCCCCCCCTGGGTTTTGGGGGAGAGGGGGTCAGGATTAGTACTCGCTCAGACTGTGCCACTTGGCTACTGGCTTGCGGGGGCTCTCACAGACCTCTCGCCAGTGTTCTGCACCAGCAGCTGTGACACTGTGGGCCCCCAAGATCAGCCTCCCCACCACCTCATTCTTGGTGGTGCGGTCGAAGTCGATGACGAGGAACTCAATACTGATGTCAGGCAGCAGGTCAGTGGGGATATCGTAGATGAAGGACTCATTGAAGACAGGATTCAAAGTGCACTTCTTCACATGGGTTTTCTTCTTGGCAATGCGCTTCCTGCCATAATAAATGTTCATCTTGACGTAGGGATCTGGATGCCCAGGGCAGCGCAGGGAGACAGAAAAAAGGGAGAGACAGACCTATGACGAAGTTCTTACTTATTTGCCACCAAGGCAGGGATTATAGCTATAGTGCTCAACCCCACAGTCTGACTTGTCAGGGATATGGTGGAGGGTATTCGTGCCTGAAGCAGGAGATTGGACTAGATGACCCCTAAGATGCTATCCAAAGTTAAAATTCTTTTTTTTAAATTTTTAGGCATTTGGGGTTAAGTGACTTGCCCAGGGTCACACAGCTAGTAAGTGTCAAGTGTTCGGTCTAGGTCGTATTTGAACTCAGGTCCTCTTGACTTCAGGACCCGAGTCCTAACCACTTCGCCACCTAGCTGCCCCCCAAACTTAAAATTCTAAGGGTCAACTACATAGGCAGTCAGATTCAGCTGATGTGTGGATTAGCTTCTCTGTTTGAAAGGATGGCTTTATGGGTAGTTGGAGGTGTTGGTGGATATATTTGGGACCAAAGGTAATATAAAAGCAAAATATACCAATAAAAATATTTAAGAAGAAGAAAAAAGATTTTAGGTCTCTATTGACACATGCATTTTGAAGAAAATGGGCAGGGTATATTCACTAAATGGGTATTGGCTGAATGGGTGAATAATGGACTGAAAATCTAGGGTCAGAACCATAAGTAGGGTGAGGGGCTAAGGGAATTCAACAGCTTCACCAAAGCATGCTAAAGGAACCTGCCTCTTAGAAAGCAGCATTTTTAAGGACACAGGCTTCTAAATAAATACCTAGTTACCCTCTGGGTGAGAGCCACAACACTCAGCAGGCATATCACTGAGTGTCTTGGCCATCTGCCTATTCATGCCAACTCCAGGGAGAATACTTTGTGCTACCTCCCTCTCAGAAACATGGGAGATGTCTATAGGCTACCTGCAAAAGTTAGAGAAGGGGGAGAGGAGAACTTAGAAACCTATTAGCTGATTGGAGTAAATAGCTGCTACCTGAGAGACCGGTGATATCCATCTTTGGCAAGTGTCTTGCTTTAAGGACCACCACTGTCATTCTCTGAGCCACCGGCTGGTAGGACAGGGATACTTGCAGCTCCCCTCTGCTAATACACTTCTGTAAGGAGGAGACCAAATGTGAGGAGATCTGGCAGAGAGTATGGGGGAAAGAATAGGAGGGGTGCAGAGGACTTGGAAAAGAGTCTATAGAGAAGGAAAAGAAAGTTCCCATATAAATCAAATATTCATATTTGTGGTATCCAAGAACTGAAAACAAAGCTTGTGCCTATCAACAGGAGAATAACAAAACAAATTGTGGTATATGCAGGGGTGTACTGAACCAAGCTCCTTCTGGCTCTGGGGAACTGAATGTTAAGTTTTCAGTGTGAGCATTTATACCTCTGACAAATGCTACAAATTAGGGCTTGTTTTGTCAGTTGTCTAGACTTAAGAAAGTGATGACAGAAATGTTAATTTTCTCTGATTAAACTTAAAAGTGTGTTGTGTATACATTTTTTCCCTCCAATCCCCCAAGAGCTGATTGAACATTTATCAGCACACTACTGGGTATATGAAATATAACTTAATACAGTAATATTTAATTAATTTATCATATATAATTAAATTAATAAATTAAATTAATAATTAAACAATTATATTTAAATAATATTTACTAGCATATAATTATTGTATAAGAAATTGTGGGGATGAAGTATCTAGAGCAACTTAGGAAGATTCTTAGGAACTGACATAGAGCAAAATAAACAGAACCCATAAGATGATATACACAATGACCACATAAGGCAAAATAATACTGAAAATATCAAAACCCCAAATCAGACTACTGCAATGACCAGTTGACTCCAGAGGATTGATAATGATACCTCCCTTCTCTCAGTAAGGAAATAGTACACTCCAGGTGCAGAATAAGGTACTTGTTATACATGGTTAGTGGATCAGTTTGCTTTCCTTAATTACACTTCTATGTAACAAGGGACAGTCTTATGTTGAGTGAGATATTGTTGGGAAAATGATGGAAATGTTTTCCCCAAACCATCAATGAAATATAAAGGGACGGACTCAGGAAAAAGGCAAAAAGTGTGAGAAAAGGAAAAGAACAGTAGAACTGAGATGGAAAGGGGAAAGCAACAGGGTCATGAGAGTTTGAGAATCCTGTGCTTGATCTGTGGAAGTTGCAGATCACAACCCCTCCTGCACACTCTAGTAGATTGCTTTGTGAGTTGCTAAGGTCCAGAAGTGTCATCATCCAATAGCTAGACCTCTGGTGATGATCCTTTCTGTATCTAGGCTAGTCCTCAAACAACAGATTCACCATCTGTTGCTAGAACAAACTTGACACCTTTCCAGCTGGGTAGGGCATGCTAGAATTTGTGCCCTGTCAGCATGGTGTAGTTAAAAGAACACTGGACTCAGAAAACCTGAGTCTGAGTCCCGGCTGTGCTGCTCACTAGCTATGTGATTCTGGGCAGGTCACTCTTTGAGCCTCCCCTGTAAAATAGAGAGAATAATACTTGCCCTCGATACCTCATAGGACTATGTGAGGGAAGGAAAATACTATAGAAATGTGAGCCTTTGGAAACCTAGAGTCAGAGCTGCAACGAGGGTAGGGCTGTTGGTGCTTTGACCCTGGGTGATGAAACTCAGGTAGAACAAATATTTACACCTGGCAAGCTCCTGGACCATCTTGCTCCTCCTTGGGGGCAGGGCTTAGCACAATGCCTGACACACAGTAGGCACTTTTAAAAATGCTTTTATCAACTGACAGTGCAACTGAAGCTATAGACTCCTTAGACTGGATGCGCCCTAAGGTCCTTTCCATGTCTGTCAATGCAGGGCATTTTGTTTTCACATGTACTCTCTCATTTTGTCGTTATAATATCTTCATGAGGAATTGTAGTAAAACCTATAATGACTCTGAAGGCAGCATGGTATATAGTGGGGGAGGCACCTGGCTTAGAGCCATGAGGCCAGAGTTCAAATTCAGCATTACCACTTACAAGCTCTGTGACCTTGGACAAGTAATTCAGCCTCTCTGAACCTCAATTTCCTAATCTACAAAATGGAGCTAATACTTGCCCTGCTTGTTTCTCAAGGCTATTGGGAGCAATTAATGAGATAATAGATGTGAAGTTCTCTCTACATTAGAAAGTACTATATACCTATAGGGGGTCATTTTTACTAGGATATTTTCTCTCCGGCCTAATCAGCTTCTTTTCCCATATTTAAATTCTAGTACAAGGCATCTAGATGGCAAAGTGAATACAGCACAGGCCCAGGAGTCAGGAGGACCTGAGTTCAAATCTGTCCTCAGACACTTACTAGTTGTGTGACCCTGGGCAAGTCATTTAATCCCAATGGCCTTAAAAATAATACTAGTCCAGACAGCATAGTGTAGTGGAAATTTAATTCAATTCAACAAATACTTGTCAAGCACTTATTAAGTGCTAGGTACCGAAACAAGGAGTGAGATCATCTGAGTTCTAATCCCAGTTATTCCAGTAATTCACTACGTGACCTTGAAGAAAATACTCTGAGTCTCAGTTTCCTTATGTGTAAAAAAAAAAAAAGGTGGGGGGATGTTAAAGGTGGCAGAGGAGGGGGGGGATGTTTTAGACTAAATGATTTCTAAGGTTCCTATCTGGTTTTTTTGCACTTGATAGTATTTTTTTCCCTATTACATGTAAAGATAGTTTTCAGCATTCATTTTTGTAAGATTTTGAGTTTCAAATTTTTCTCCCTTCCTCCCTTCCCTCCCCCCTCACCAAGACAGCAAGCAATCTGATTCCTATCTGTTCTTAAATGATGTGATTCTGATTTATGGCCACAATAGACTCATCTTTCCCACTGATAAATTTTGTCCTTTTTATTTTTTCAACAGGGAATCTTTCTGGAGCAAAAAAATAGCTTTTACTCAACATTTACATATATAAGTAATACAGCTAGGTGGCAAAGTGGGTAGAGTGTTAGGCCTGGAGTCAGGAAGACTCATCTTCCAGAGTTCCAATCTGGCCTCAGACACTTATTAACTGTGTGACCCTGGGCAAGCTGCTTAACCCTGTTTGCCTCAGTTTCTTCATCTGCAAAATGAGCTGGAGAAGGAAATGGCAAACCAATCCAGTATCTCCTGCCTTCTCTGGCTTCCTTCAAGTTCTAGCTAAAACCCCACCTTCTAGAGGGAGCCTGTTTTAATCCCTCTTCATTGTAGTGCCCTTTCTGTTAAAGGCTTCCAACTTGTCCTGCATATGTGTGTGTGTGTATACATGTATGTACACATGTATGTATATGTATATATGAATGTCTATCTATTTATCTATCTATATCTTGCTTGTACATAGTTGTTAGCATGTTGTCTCCTCCCACAAGACTGTGAGCTTCCTGAGGGCAGGGACTATTTTTCTTTTTCTTTTGCAATGGGGGTTAAGTGACTTGCCCCGGGTCACACTGCTAGTAAGTAAGTGTCAAGTGTCTGGTCTGAGGCTAGATTTGAACTCAGGTCCTCCTGACTCCAGGGCCGGTGCTCTAGCTATTGCACCATCTATCTGCCCCTAGTTTTCTTTTTCTTTTTCTTTTTGGTTGTTTTTGTGTGTTTTGCTTTGCTTTGCATCCCTGGTGCTTAGCACAGTGTCTGGCTCTGGCACACAGTAGGTACCTAATAAAGGCTTGTGGACTGATTGGTCAGCTAACATTTGAACTAAAGTATAAACAGGAGAATTGTGAATTTCTTTTTATTTATTTATTTATTTATTTTTTTTCTGATGAGGCAACTGGGGTTAAGTGACTTGCTCAGGGTCACACAGCTAGTAAGTGTCAAGTGTCTGAGATTGGATTTGAACTCAGGTCCTCCTGACTCCAAGGCCAGAGCTCTATCTACTGCACCACCTAGCTGCTCTGAGAATTGTTAGTTTCTTAATTGTTCTTCCCTATATGCACTAATGCCTACGTTCTAGATCTGTAAAAACATTCATATCAACTCTTAATTGTTGGCATGGGAAGAGCTGGCATCTAGCAGAGCTTACAATCATAAACTGGTTCTGCAGTTTCTAGAGAGGCAATATGGTGTAGCGTAAAAAGACTGGGATCCAGGAAAACAGTATTCAAAGCCTGACTTGGACAATGATAAGCTGTATTGCCTTGGCCAAGTCACTTACTTCATGGAGTCTCAGTTTCTTCTTCTGTAAAATAGAGCCAAAACTACTATGTGAACTACTTATCTTGTAGGATTATTGTGAGGAAAGTACTTTGTAAGTCTTAAGTGAGTATGTATGCATATATATACAAGCATAAATTTATGTATGTATATACAGAGTGGTATATACACACATATATACCTACATATATAAATACATACATGCATAAATAAGACTGGGTATATACACATATATGTATATATACATACAATTAGGTATAGATACAAGTGTATATACATAAGTGGGTATTTATGTACATATATAAACATGTATAGACACACAGGTGGGTATATATATGCAGGTATAAACATAAGTGGTATATGTATATACTTATGCACACACATGCATATGCAGACATGTATGTATGTGCATATAGGCATGTATGCATACACATAAGTGGGTCGTCTTTTTTTTTTTCTTTTTGTTCTTTGTTTTCAAAGAGGACCAAAATGACATCGCTATGCTAGAGTTAAATTTTAGTATGTTCAACTGTGGCTGATCAGACCAATACAAGCTTGGAAGGTTCTACCACAAATAGTCTGTGCAAACACAAGTGGGTATATATGTGTATATACATATAAGTAGGTATATATAATACACACACATATATCACCATTATACATATACTATACATATACTTGTATACATGTATAGGAACATATATGCAAGTATATACACACAAGTGTGCACATATGTGTATTATATATAGGCTATTATTATTGGGTGTCAGGCTACAGGGTTTGGACTTTACCTTAAGGAGTCTGTCCAAGGAATGTGGAAGGCCAGAGAAGTTATTCATTCAACAAACATTTAATAAACATCTAATGAGTGCAAGGCACTACGCTAGGTACTGGGGATGCAGGCAAAGGGGAAAATAGTCCCAGGTCTCAAGAAGCTTACATTCTATGGG